GCGCCCGCCCCACCCTCCCGGCCGGCGTCCCGCTCGTCCCCGCTCGTCCCCGGCCCGGCCGCCCTCGGCAGACGCCGCCGCGTGCGCTTCCGTGCGCGGACGGCCGCCCTTTGTCTTGCACGCTTTGTCCCCATCTCCCTGGTACATGCCTGCGGTGATGGAGCGAGAAGCGAGCTGCTGGCTGGAGGTTGCCTGTCCATTTCCTGCCGGCTGGGCCTTTCACCGGCCCGCGTGGCGCCTGCAAAGAGCAGTTTATCCGAAACCGGAGGAGGGACAGCCCTCTTGGTCCTTTGGAACAAAGTAGACCTGGTCTGTCGGGGCGTCCCGGGGAGAGCCCCACGTCCTCAGGATCCCCCAGCTCACAGGACCGTCCCACCACCTCTTGCAGACCTTCTGAGACACGGGCAGTTGTCCATGGTCTGACCTGTCACTCAGAGCCTTGAGTTGGCTCTCCTGGTCTTAGGATTTTTGTTGGAAAGAGTTTAAGACATCTCTCCCTTAAGTTTAATTTTCCGCTCTCGCCGCATGAGAGATCTTTTGGAGTGGACTTCCCGTGGAGAGTTGGGGTCCAGCGGGTGGAGGACCACTTTGGAGGCCTGGCTGCAGAGGTTCTGTAGGCGGCGGGGCCTACGAGGGGACCAGCCCCTCAGTAGCAGAGACCTGTGAGGGCCCAGCAGAGGCTGGTCTCCAAGAGCTGTCACAGCCTCCTGGGGGGCGGACGCTCCTTGTTCGCATTGATGGCTCTGCCTCCCTTGGGTCTGAAAGGGGAGAGTGACAAAGCTAAGGCACCTCATCACGTTAAAGGCACTGCTCGGATGCCGTTGAGGGGCGGATGCCTTCCCTGGGTGAGCTCGTGTTCCTGGCCCTAGACGCGGGCCTGGCACCTTCCCGCGAAAGGCACCCCTTGCTCGTGTTTAAACTGCCCAGCAACAGCCCCACTTGGCCTCTGACCCCTTCGATTCTGGCCAGTGCCTCTGCCTCATCCAGGAAAGTCAGTGATGAACTTCTGAAAGCCTTTGAAAGTTCTGGTCTCTTGCTTTCTTCACCTTTTGGGGTCTTGAAATCAAAGCTTAAACAGAAGTGCAGAATCTTGCATTTGAACGAGGCCCCTGATGGGAGTAGATGGGAACACACACGCCCTCGTGCTGTGAGGCGCACAGAAAGGCTTTGGGACTCGGGTTTTGGGACGTGCTGTGCAGCGTTGGGTCGAGTCTCCGGTTGGACACACGGCTGTGGACCCTTTGGAGGTTCTTTGTGCTTTTAGTCTGATTCCTTATGTTTATTTAAAAACCACAGAACTTCACTTCTTTCAGTAACCGATTTTTGGATGGAGGATGGTGACCCACTGCTCGGTCACAGCACCTTGCCTCTCTCTTGCCTCTTCTGGTGGCCTTTAACAAGTTACGTGTGGCCTCTGGGTCCGGAGTGCGCTGGCCTTGTGTCCCGTGTGAACCTCGCACGTTTGCTCATGGGCAGCCTCTTCACCGGCCGCTGCCCTCCTTCACGTGGAAGTCAAGCGCCTGGCTTCCCAGCCGGCACTCGGCCGACATGTGACCCGTGGCCCTGGCAGGATGGCGCTCCTGCCTTTAGGACGCTTGCGGGATGAATGAATGAACAAATAAGGTTCTCCCTTGGCGGCCTTCACATTTTCGTTTTATTTTAGTAGAAAAATCTTGCTTTCTGGTCCTTGGAACTTGAAGATCCTAAAACCTGCGGTTAACGACAAATCTGGAAGTTGGTGGTTATCGTTATTTGTGTTCCGGGAATCTACTGATTCTTTTTTGGTTCCCTGGGCTCAAGGTCAGGTGACAGCCATATCCAGTTGTTTCCAGATTCTCTGTCCCGTCAGATAATCAGTGCTCGTGAGCTATTTACTGTTGCCCCACGTGGGAGACTGGTACCAGCTGGTCCTGAAGAGCAGCGGGTCTGCTCCCTTGGACACACAGATGTGCCACCTTCCTTGGCTGCCCGGTGATGACCCCTTAGTCTTGCAGATTAGGTGGAAGAAACTCTCACGCACAGGTCAGCTGCCAACCCTCTGTTAAGCAGACGGGCGAGAAAGGTTCATGTGCGCCGACCAGATTCCGGGGTAGGGGAGATTTAAGAAGTGATCGTCTTAGGAAGTCGAGATTGCCGGAGCCCGGAGCGCACCCTGGTCACTTCGTCTGCCGGCTGATGGTTTTCAAGAAATAAGTTGCATGTGATTCGTGACCATGTCTCACAGAATGGGAGCCCCTTCTCGGAGCCGGGGTGTGCCCAGGGTGTGAGAGAGTCACCTGACTCAGGCGGGTTGTTTCCCCAGGCTGGTGTCCTGGAATGCCTGTCCCGAGTCCCCGTGTTTGCCCTTTTCTCTCGTCACGTGGGACCTGAGGGGACCCAGCAAACATTTCTGAGCAGCCGAAGGCTACCAGCAGGGCTCGTTAGAGACGGCGCAGAGCCTCCTTGCGACAGCGCTGCCACCAAGCTCAGAGGCGCATTGCCCGACAGTAGGGGATCCCTGCGTCCTCTCGGGGCTGAGAGTTTGAGTTGGGTCAGCGGGGTTCGCAGGAATGTTCTACCTCGACAGCGAAGTGAAAGGCGTTTGGATGTCGCAGCATTTTTCTCACGCGTCTTATTGAACGGGCAGGGTCGTTGTCAGCGTTTCGTAAGCAGCGTCTGAGACGACTGGGAGGGCTGCGGCCGCCCCGGCTGCGCGTCGAAGGCTGGCGCTCTGCGCTCCGCTCCCACAGCCTCGTCTGACCTGGGAAGCCGTGACTTCCACGACCTCGGCTCTGGCGTGCCGATGCGTTCCTGGGTTCCATCTTCCGATGAGGCTTTCTCCTCCTCCTTCCCGCTCCACTTTGCCCTGAGCACAGCAGCATGACCCTGGCGGAGGAACAAGCGCCTTTTATTCCCAAGCCTCGGTTCTCTGTCCAGTGGGTCCCACCTCTCCCCGCAGGGCTGGACTGAGGCCTGGGCCTTCATCTTCCTTGAGCTGTGTCCTCGCGTCCGTCGGAACGAAGACGTTCTGCCCGTCGTTCGGCCTGGCTCGTGATTTCCGTCCGCTCCTAGCTGATGTATCGCGGAAAGCGTGTGTGTGTTTTCCCTTCCCCCACCATCGGTTGACCTGGCTGGACGTTTGCTCTCCCGTTCTCCCTGGCACTTGGCCGGCCTGCAGAACGGCGTAAGCATCGCCCCCTGCGAAGGGAGGAGGGAGCCCCCGAGGGCCCAGACGTGGTCCTGGGTGTGTGGCGGGCACTGCACAGAGCAGGAGGTGGTGGCTTTTCTCTCCTCTCGGCCGTGGGTTTGAGGTGTTGTTCTTCGAGCCCCGGGGGAAGGGGCTTCTCCAGACCTCTGCCCAGAACCCTGGACAGCTCCCGCGCGGTCCTTCCTGCTGGCAGCTCTGGCTGGCAAGGCGCTGCCGAGGCTCCTGTCCCCGGCGGAACCGTGGGACCGCAAGCTGGCGTTACGTATTCTTTATCTTCCATGGTCTCCTTTGGGTCTTTCTTCTAAGCCATGTTTTAAGTAGATACTTTTTGCCCGGTGGGGTGAGAGGGTCCAAACTAGAGTCGACGGCGCAGTCACTGTTTTTTAAACTCTGGGAACCCATAGATAAGAAAATCTATTTCGTTCATCTCCTCTGTTTTTTAAATTTGTCTTTAGTTAATGGCGATGACATTCTTTGAAGTTTTTTTCCCATTAAGACGTTTGAGCAAAGAATCATGTTACTCAAACTTTCAAGCTGCTTCTCTCCTACGTGGAGAAAATAAACTTTCAGAGAAAATCTCACTGTAGGTGCACATTCCCTGGTGGACCCGGTGGGCCCATGTGACCTTCACCTGACGGTCTCGCCACTCCTCACGGTCTCAGTGACATGCAGAGCAAGGCGGTGACGGGCTGGGTGTGATCTGTGATGGTCACTAGACAGGCGTGAAGAGCCCCCGCCGTGTGGACTCGCCAGAGCACCACCTCCAGGCACTGAGCTGTTCTCCCCACACGTGGGCTGGGGGTTCTGCAGGCGAGGAGGGACCCTCTCTGTGGCCGGCCCTGGGGCGGAGTCTGGCTGGCGCCGGCGTGGCCTGTGGCCTGACGGCCGGTCGTGCCTGCTTTTCCCTTCCGTGCATCACAGTGTCCGGTGCGCCCTCCCTGGGAAGGTCATTGTCCAGCTGTTGAAGCTTCATGGTCTCACGCGTCCGGCCCTTCTCAGAAAGTCTCATGTCCTCCTGTGTCACGTTCACGCTGCGCGGTGGCAGGTTTGGCCCCTCGATCTCGTTGTACTTCGTCCCTGTAGTGACGATCTGAAAGCCGTGCCCTTGCCAGGAACTCTGAAACCCCTATCACACTGCTCCATCCAACAGTCACGGAAGCCGTGCCCCGAGAGACGGACCGTGTGACCCAGGTAATTTGGGACTGCGCCTTAGATCGTTCGGGAGATGTCACGTAAGGCACACCAGCATTGGTGGACTGTGTCTAGGGAGGCGAAGCCTGGGGGGACAGTGACATTCTAAGCTGGCCTGGGGCCGGAAGGGCAGCATCCGCGATCACAGTACGAATCTCAGCTCGAAGGCGGTGTGCACTCCCTCGCGGGCACGCTTTCTCCTCCCTCCTCTAGTCGGATTTCACACACCAGTGCCTTTGCATCCAACGTGAACGTTGGTGCCCGAGAGATTTTCCCAAATTCTATCTGACTCACCTGTGTTTATCAGCTCCGAAAGCTGACTCCCGTCTCTGGGCTGTAGACACCCACTGCTGCTGCTACAAGTGGGTTTCATAGACTTACCAGGGTCTGACCTGGCCGAACTCAACCTAAGAATTAGAATGGATTTCAGTATCTTCAGAGGTAATGCTGCAGGTTTCAGGTGTTTACTGTGGTTTTTTCACTTAGAAAATGCCTTAGAAATGCTTCCGTCGTGGTCTCACAAGGATCTTCCTGAGTGGAATGACAGGTGCCATCAGTTGCCTCGGAAACTGCAGCTTAAAGTGAGGGCGTGGTAAGAACGAGCCGAGAAACTAAGTTGCAGTGAAGTGTCAGGACGCGAAAGTAAAATACAAAAATCAATGGCCTTCGTTACACAGACATAACAGGCCAGAGGACGCGACGGTGGCATTTTAAAAATACATTTACAGTAGCAACCTGAAAGATTAAACACTTAGTAATAAAACTAACGGGAAATGCATAAGTACCTGTTAGATCACTCAGCATCACAGACGAGCTAGACAGGTTGATTCTAGAGTTCACGGGAAAACAAACGTGGAAGAATCGCTGTAGAAACACTCAAGGCGTGAGGGACTGTTTCTCCCAGGCATCAAAGCATCACGTGAAGCCTGTACGATCGAAACGAAAGCGTGTCTCTGGCACGCGAACAGACGAGCAGCACTGTGTACAGTAGAAAGTTCGGAAGTAGAAACAGGTCCCTGTGGAAACTGTCATCTCGATAAAGGTGGCTCTCAAATCACTGGGGTCAAGGTGGACTTTTTAAAAAGAGTGCTGGGACAGCTGGATAGCCATTCGCAATTAGATCAGTATCTTACATCGTACCAAAAAAATAAGTGCCAAATGGATTAAGAATCTAAATATTTAAAAAACAAAACCATACCAATTCCAGTAGAAGAAAATATGGGTGATTTTTTTTTTAACCTTGGCATGAGGAAAGGGTTGCTAACTATGACTCAAAATCCAGAGGAAGTAAAAGAAAAGGCTGATAAATTTGACTACGTGAAAAACATTTAATTTGCATGACAAAAAAACGGAAAAAGTCAAAAGACAGCTGACAAACTGGGAACAATTTGTCATAGCGTATACCAGACAAAAGGATGATACACTTAGTATATAAAGAATTCTTAAGCATTCAAAGGAACAAAGGAACAAAAGCCCAAAAGAAAAGCGGAGGGAGACATGGACATACAATTCAGCCCTTCCCATAGGAAACGCGTTAGAACGGCACTTGAACTTACGAAAAAAATTTTAAGTACTCATAATTAGAGAAATACCAACGAAAACAACATATTCCATTTCTGATCTGTCAGACTGGAAAACACTTGAAGCGTAAGAACACACTGCTGGCGACACTGCCAGCGGGGTGCACGGCACTCAGCACTGCCAGCGGGGGGCACGCGCTTCGGCCCTGGAGGGGAGTTCGGCCGCAGCTAACAGCATCGCCTGGGCAGGGAGCTAAGCTGAAGCTGCACCTTCAACAATGTAAGCATGTGTGTCACAGATAGTATGTACTGCAGCATCGCTCATAAAGCAGAATCCTGGAAACAATCGAACTGCCCACACGTAGGCGGGTGGTTGAATAAAATTCGTGCATCGATACAATGGTATATAATGTAGCGGTAAAAAAGGAGTCGTCTCCGTGAACTAATTTAGAATCATCTCCACGATATAGTGTTAACTGGTAAAAAGGGGCACCAGGACTCATGATGGGGTTCTGTCCTGGTAAACCTGTCCAAAGTTGAGAATATCGTAGGTTGAAAATGCATTTAATATACCCAGTCTGCCCAACATCAAAGCTGGGCTTAGCCCGGCCTCCCTTGAATGTGCTCAGAACACAGCACCCGAAGCCGCTGGCAGCACGGCACGCTGCAGCGACTCATTGCTCACCCTCGTGGTCGCATGGACGTAAAAGGAAGGACTGAGGGACTGTCACCACTGAAGGAATCTCAGCTGTGACGACCAAACACAGTGTGGGGTCTGGGATTGGATTCGGAAAAAAATAAGGGCAGAATTTTCATTTTTCTGGCGATGAGAACTTTGAAGACCGGCTCTCTTGGCACTTCCGATGCATTAGCCGCGGCCGACCTGCTGCTCGCTGCGTGCTGAGTCCCCAGGGCCGACTTCTTTCATACCTGGAGTTTGTGCCTTTTGACTCCCTTGACCCATTTCACCCACTTGCCACCTCTGGCAACTAGTAACCGAGTCTCTCTGTATGTGAGTTTGTTTTTCTGGTTTAGCTTTTGGCTTCCACATTGCGGGAATCACTCAGTACTTGTCTTTCTGTGTCTGGCTTAGTTCACTCAGCATAATGCTCTCTGGGTCCATCCGTGGCGTTGCCCCTGGAAGGATTGCGTTCTTTTTCATGACCGCATAGTATTCCGTTGTATATACACGACCTTTTCTTCAGCCATTCATCTGTCGGGGGACACTTAGGTGTTTCCATATCTTGGCTATCATGAATAGTGCTGCAGCGAGCATAGGGGTGCGTTATATCTTTTTGAGTTGGTGTTTGCGTATACCGTGGGGAAGTGCCCAGAAGCGGGCTTGCTGGTCACATGGTACTTGCATTTTTAACATTTGGCGGAACCGCTGGGCTGCACCGTCTTGCTTTCCCACCCACGGGCCCAGGCCCCGGTTCTCCACACCCTCGCAGCTCGCGTCCGATGTTGGTAGTAGGCATCCCGGTGAGCGTGGGTCGGTGTCTCATAGTTTTGGTTTTCATTTTCCTGACGACTACTGAAGCTGAACATCCTTTCATGTGCTCATTGGCCACTTATATTTCTCCTTTGGAGAAATGTCTGTTCGAGCCCGTTGTCCATTTTTGAATTGGGTTATTTTGTTGTTGTCATTGGATTTCAGGAGTTTGCTGTACGTTCTGAATATTAATCCCTTATCAGATATATGACTTGCAAATATTTTCCCATCCTGTAGGTGGCCTCGTTCTCTGTTGATAGTGTTTTTCAATATTCAGAATTTCTTAAATTTTCGGAAGTCTAATGTGTCTGTTTTTCCTTTTGTTTTCTGTGCTTTTGGTGTCCTATCAGGAAATCATTGCCAAATCTCTGTCATGAAGTTCTTGTCCTGTGTTTTCCTCTAAGAGTCTTATTGTTTTAGTTCTTACCTTTAGGTTCTTGATCCATTTGAGTTCATTTTTGTGCACGGTACTGGGTAAGGCTCCAAACCTCATCGCGGTGCACGTGGACGTCCAGCGTTCCCTGCGCCATTTGTTGAAAAGACTGTCCTTTCCGCATTGAGCGGTCTTGACACCCGTGTCAGAAGTCACCGACCACGCGTGCGAGGGTTTACTTCTGGGCTCTGCTCTGCTCTGTTGGCCCGGATGCCCGTCTGTGCCCCACTGTGGTTACCGCAGACATGGACGTTTCGGCAGCAGGAAGTGACAGTGCCCCGTTTCGGTCTTCTTTTTCCAGACCGTTGTGGCTGATCGGGGTCCCTTGAGATTCTATATGAGTTTTAGGGTGGATTTTTCTATTTCTGCGAAAAACGTCATTGGGATTTTGACAGGGATCGCATTGAAGGATCTAAATGTTAATTTGGGAATGAGAGTCGTTTTAACTCCCAGCATGCACTTCAGGATTACCGCTTAAGTTGCTTATTGGGAGCTGTTCACTTAGAACCGTTGTATTTTTAGGACTAAGCCTGTTAAAGACAATTTTGGGGTTTGTTTGTTTGTTTGTTTGTTTGTTTAAATGACAGAAATTTATTGTCCCGTGATTCTGGAGGCTAGAAATCCAAGATCGCGCTTCGGGCAGGGTCGGTTCCTTCTGTGGGCTGGGAGGGGGAGCGCATTCAGCTCCTGGCAGCCCGAGGTGCTCCTCGGTGTGCAGGTGGTGCTCTGCCTGTGTCTTCACACACCATCTTCCTTCTCTGCACGTCCTAAAGCCAGTTTTCTTAGCCTTCACTCCTCTCTTACCTGGTATGTGTATCTGAGCAACTCCTGAAATCTCACCTCTCCATCTCTCTGGAGTTAGGTGGACCGGTTTTCAGTTAGATGCCGCACCCACTGGCTCCGGGAGGGAGGGGAGGTGGCTGGAAGGCGCTCTGCAGTGATCGGAGAAAACGGGCTGGTGCCAGTACTTGGTTCATTGGTCACAGCCTCGCCCTGCGGGCCAGCCCGTGTGTCCCACTTGGAGGAACCAACCTCAGCATCATCGGTGCTTCCAGAAGCTGGATCGATCCCCTTTCTGAATCCTTCTTGCTGGCGTCAGGGTCAGAGCTCAGTGAAGCGCTTTGGCTTTCCTGGGTGCTCGGGGCCCACAGTGAAATTTTCTCTTCCAGAATTCGGCGTCCACCTGGCAGAGCTGACCGTGGATCCCCAGGGGGCACTGGCAATTCGGCAGGTACGTCCAGGCCGATTGGTCCAATTTATAAGTCATTTCCCTTTACTTGTTACTGGAACTTCCTTATGGAAAGAATAAGGCCAATTTATAAATAACCCAGGATTTGGTACCAGATTCAGATGCACTTCAGAGGAACGTGTGGTGTGGGCCGCGTGTGTGGTTTTCGTGTGCAAAGTGTCTTTCCTCATCGTGCGCTCTGCTTGTCTCCCTCACAGCTGGCCTCGGTCATTCTGAAGCAGTACGTGGAGACTCACTGGTGTGCCCAGTCAGAGAGGTTCAGGCCCCCCGAAACCACAGAGAGGGTGAGGATGGCGCATGACCCACGCCTGTGGGTGTGAGGGGCCGACTTGGGTTGAGGCGACCGCCCACATTCTTAGACAGCGTGGTGCAGCCGAGAGACGCGCAGGAAAGGAGAGTGACTGTCACTGCAGGGAAGAGGGCCCGAGTGCCGGGCCACGGGCTGGCCCGTGACACACCCAGTGCTGCCAATTACGAGCTGTGACATCCTGGAAAAGCCTTCTGCCTTCTAAGCTTCAATTTCCTGCATATCTAAAATTAGAATGAAACTTCCAACTTCCAAAGAGTTGTTTGAGGCTCAGATAAGAGAATGTTTCTCTTTAGTTCGGTGCCAGGCAGCCATTCCGGGCCCCCGCAGATTTTGCGGCAAAGGCGTAGAGCAAGGCTCTCCGTTGGGACTGTCCGTGCCTGTGCCGTGGCATGCAGCAGCCACCGGCCGCACGCGGGGGCTGAGCACGTGAGGCGAGGCTGCTGCACCAAGGGGCTGGACTTTTCACATACTTAACTCTAGATCTAAATGGCCACGTACAGCTGGTGGCCACGTGATCGGACAGCGTACGTCTAGGCATCACAGGTGACCTCCGAGTGAATTTTTTGTCAAGTTTCTACGTCACGTTTTTGATAGACCTCCGGTATCTCGTGCACGTTGTCTTCCTAATGTGTAAGCTGGGCGGGACTCTGCTGCAGGTCACGCGTCCCTGGTGCACCCGGTCTGATGGCAGGTGACCTTTCTCCACAGGCTAAGGGCGTCATCCGGGAGCTGCTGCCCAGCGGCTTGAGGGAGTCGGTGAGCAAGGTGCGCTCCAGCGTGGCCTATGCGGTGTCAGCCATCGCCCACTGGGACTGGCCCGAAGCCTGGCCCCAGCTCTTCAGCCTGCTCATGGGGATGCTGGTGAGCGGGGACCTCCGCGCCGTCCACGGAGCCATGCGCGTGCTCACAGGTATCGGAAGCCTCCCCACGTTGGTGCTTGGAGCCCAGGTGACAAGCATGCTCACGAGACGCGCGCTGTGCAGTGGCATGGCTCTGGAGCCGGACCGGAATTGTCTGACCCCCGCCAAGGCTCCCGCCAGTGTCCTGTCCTCCGTCTCCATAACCCACTGGCCCTCTCCAGGGAGTTCGGGGGGCTCGGTGCCTCTGCTGCTCCCCGGCCTCCCGCTGAAGGGTAGAGCAACACTCAGGTGTCAGTTTCCGGTCCGGCTTCTCGAGCCTGAGTTAAGGTGACAGCGGCATCCGCTCCACAGGCGTTTTCGCCGTTTAAGTGAGCTCATCTGCGTCAGGCGCTTGGCGCAGTCCCGGTGTGGCAGGCACTCCGTAAGTTTTAGCCATGTGATTGTCAGCGTTATTACACGTTGTTTTTCTAGTCAGTTCAAGTTAGGAGTAATCCCGTAGGATTTTTAGAGACACGTGAGAGAGAGGACAGGAGCCGTGTGGCTGTGAAAGCTGACCTGTCCCAGCCTCCGTGGGGCTCTGTGGTCCTCGGTGGCTTTTCTCTCTCTGCTCTGAGAAGTCGGTAGCAATACGTGAACTTGTAGTCCAGGAGGATTCGGAGGCGCTCTCGCGAGCCTGATGGCTGACGTGTCGCTCCCTCACAGAGCCCGTCTTCCTGCGGCCCAGGTTTCATGGTCTTGGCAAGTGCTGCCCTGTCCCCTGTCCCGTCCCCTAGATGAGGTCACGGCTCTGCCTTGCTTTCAGGGACCCTTACCCGGACATTGGTCATCTGTTGGTCTTTTAGACATCGTATTTCTGCTCTGTCCATGCAGGCGTGTGGCAGTCCCTGGATTTGCCTGCTCTGTGCGCTGCTGGCTTGCCTGGTCGTGAACGCCCCTGCTACTTTTTTTTTAATCTCAGTTTCCTGAATTTGGCATCTGTGTCCAATTTCATTAGTCCACGTGATGTCGACGGCTGTTAATACTGATTCCATATCCAACATCATCCCTTCTCTCCTTCCGTTCCTAACCCCGCTTCCTGTGCCCCGGCTGCCTCTCTGAGCGGCCCATTGTGTTCTTACTGGTGACCTGTGACAAGTGCTCAGGTGTAGAGCAGGGTCGCCAGAAAGACGAGGACGCGCCCTGCTCGGGTTTTCCCGTCCCTGCTTATCTCCCTCGCTCCTCTGCGCGACTCCTAGTCTGGGTGACTTCGCGTTCCCCTCTCATGGACTTGGCCTTCTCGGGTTTACTTACGTCCTCCTGGCCCCAGCGCGTCAGTCAGCAGGTGCGTTTCTGCCAAGGAAAGGGAGCCCGTTCCCGTCCGGTCCTCTAACCCAGAGTTTCGCTTCTGTGTTAAAAACGGTGGTTGACCATTGATCACAGTGCAGAAGCTGAAGTGCCTGCTCTTGGTGAGGCGGGGCGGGGGTCCTTCTGTAATGGAGTCAGCAGGCATGGGTGGCGCTGCCCCCTCCCTCCCCGGATAGGACAGACTGTCCTCTGACCGCGGCACCCAGACGTGCGTGGAGAAAGCAGGACGTTGGCGTGTGGACAGAACAGCGGACGCTGCGGGGTTTTGGGCGGTGTGCCCGTCTCCCCTCACAGAGCTTTGCAGTAAACGTGTCCGAAAGAGAACTGCCTGGGGCTGATGGCGTGACGAAAATGCGGACGTGGCAGCTAAGGGTGGAAGCGTGTGACTCATGAACGGCAGCTCTTTTCAGTCTCGTGAAGTTTGGGGATTGAGACGTTGCTAGTGTCCCAAGTACTTCTGACTTGCCGAGTGACCTCAGGAAACTGACTCGAGACTTAAGTGTGGCCAGCGTTAGTGCAGCGACAGTGCCGGGAATGACCATTGGGAGGAAAAATGTGGCTCAGCACCTTAGTCGTGGAGCTAACTAAGCTACGTTTCCATCAAACCTGTGTTCATTAACTGCCATCCATCGCGTTTGTTTAGACTAATTTCCTTGAATTTCTAAATAAAATAAAACACTCGATTTCTGTTCAAAGCCCAGGATTTCTTCAGGAGGAAACCCCACCTGGCAAGGAAGACTCAGCCTCGAGTATCGGTTTTCTTCTGCCTTGCGGCGGTTGATGCTGCCCGGGAGAGTGGGTGTATTAGCCTTGAACGAGCCCACCTGCATCTCTAGCTCTGTGTCCTGAGGAATGTCCCTGTTGGCGGCTCTATTTCTGTAGCGATGATGTAGAAGAGCCGGGAAAAGCAGGGGCAAAGTTAGCAGACTCCACCCCTTTCCGTGGCACCTCTGGGTCA